TTTTAGTACATAATCGCATTTCAATGTAACAAAATTTATTTTTCTATAACCTTAAAGCAAATAGTTATTTATTTGTTGTACTTTCTTTTCTATTTGTTTCTTCAAATTTGTTAAATGAAATATGTTACTTAATTGTAGTATTAATGTTTCTGTTATTCACAAAATTTCAAAATAACGAGCAATAAATTATAAAAATCAAATATTTATAAACTAATGATAACTGGCTAATTATCCTGTGCGTGCTAATTTGTATGTGTCTACAATATTTGCTTAAAATAATTCTATAAATACAGAAAAATAATGATAAGGAATTGTTTTATGCAAGTTGATTGTGATGATATGACAAGTTAATTATTTTAATCAAATATATTGTTTGATGTAGTGTTGAAGAGATGACTCTAGTCAAGTTTCAAAACGTTTATGTGAAGAATTGCCAATATCATCATTGTTATTTTTAATTTGACGAAAAAACCGGCGATTAAATATCAGACCGATTTTGTATGGAAACTTGCTCATAACCTTTACTGCTGTTTTGTATAATTTTGTATTTTAATTTTTAAAATAAAGTTTTTCTTTGATTTTATTTCTGACTTTTTCCTATAGACCAGTTTTAGATCTACATTTAGTTGCAAACTATATTTCAATTTGTGTTGGCATCAGAACTAAAAGCTAATAAATGTTTGAAAGTTTTAATTAAATTTGAAAAAATCCAGCGGCTAGTAATTTAACAGTACAATGTTATGGGTTAGTTTCATCCCGCATCCAATTACAGTTGACCTACATTCACAGAATTGAAGACAATTTGTATTTAAGAATGTTTCGTTAACAATTATACTAGAGTCAGCTAAGTTCTGATTACAAAAGATAATGTGGTTTAAATGATCATAGGAACGCAAAACTTTTTCAGATTTAATGGAAATGTAAAGCTGAGCAAAAAGTTTCACGAATGAAGAATTATCACCAAGAAAGTTTACAAAAAAGTTGTAAACTTTATATGTACTTAAAAAATTTAAGCATATATAAAAAACATCAGGCATTTATGATAAAGATAATCTTTTCATTTCAAATAAGATAGTCTGCGATAAGCCTGTTTTCTGGTACAAATGTTGGAAAATATTTCAAAATATTGATTTCGTCGCCGTTAAATTTAAATTTACATTTTTAAAGAATGACAGATTTATTTTTTTATGTTTTACCTAAACTGTTTAGGAGTCAAATATCTAATTTATAGAGCTATATTACAACACAAATTCCCATTAGTTTCTTCTTATAGAGATATGCTTTTTTATTGTTTCCAAAATATCTTTACATTTAAATAAGTACAATAAGCCTGTTTTCTGGTACAAATGTTGGAAAATATTTCAAAATATTGATTTCGTCGCCGTTAAATTTAAATTTACATTTTTAAAGAATGACAGATTTATTTTTTTATGTTTTACCTAAACTGTTTAGGAGTCAAATATCTAATTTATAGAGCTATATTACAACACAAATTCCCAATTAGTTTCTTCTTATAGAGATATGCTTTTTTATTGTTTCCAAAATTTGTTATCTTTACCATTTTATCCCATAAGTTGGGTAAAAAGGACAGCCAGGGGGCAAACAGATCCAATGTCTTATTTTTAGTGTTCAAGGCACTTTCTGAAATAATAGTTACCTTATTGGTTAATGCAAAATAAAAATTTTAAGGGCACACTTTTATATAAAGATCATATTGTAGATCTGTTTTTTGTCAGATATATTCATTAGCAGGCTTGGAATAACCAATAATGTAATTTATCTCTTGTGAAATTGTTTTTGTTAACTTAGTTTACTTTTTTATTTACTAGGTTCTTATTATTCATATATTTGCCGGTGTAAAGATTTCGTTGATCCTTTTTACCCAACTCACATGTACGATAAGCTTTTATATATGTATAAGATAAACTGTTGAATCTAATATAAAAATAGCATTAAAACTGATACAAATCATTTTCAGGTTTCATAAATTAAATAAAAGGTCATAAAACCACAAAAAATTACCACCTTTTGAAAGTATTTATCATTTATTTCGTGATAGCGACATTGCCAGATATAAGGCGATCGCTAGTTACACACTTTTGCCCTCTACTTTAAAATAGTATCGTTAAAGATATGTACTATGTTTATGTATATGTACTATATTTCACTCGTTTTTGAGATAATGGTAGACTAATTTTTGATTTTTTAATACCTATTAAATCCCGCAATGCCCAAATTCATTTTCAGAATAATGTATACAAACTGTTTCTTAATTTTGCGTTATATTTATCATTATGAGAATTCCTATTTTATTTTGCGCAGAATATTCATTAGGTTTATGTATGTACAGCGTTAAAAATGTAAACTATTCTACTTATTAGAACGATTCCTTGAGGTATTCTTAAAGACGCATTAGGTATGTTTATCAACATTCCTGTTAACTGCATTTTTCTTGTTTTTTATTTATTTAATTATAACAATCAGAGTCAAAATGACTCTATGAGTTACAGAGCTGTTATAAGAAGGAAACTATAATTGAAATAATATAGAAAAATAAAAATAAAAATTATAGTAATTACAAATCATAACAATAATCAAAATTAATGGCAAAATTATAATATAAACTAAATAATCACTGTGGAACTGGTGCTGTGAACAGTTCACTAACTCAAGTCCAAAGTTTTCAGAATAATGTATACAAACTGGCGTTATATGTTTGCATTTGTATATATATACATATATATATATATATATATATATATGTATGTATATATAAAGCATTATTAAAATGCTAACCTTTATATTTATTAAAATGAGTCCTTGAGATATTCTTAAACATGCATTAGATCTGTTTATCAACATTCCTGTCGACTCCAATGCGCATCATTTTTTAATGAAGTGTATACAATTTAAACCCTGTATCTATTACCACGGGATATTTATTAAAGAATTCCAGAATTCTTAGATGCTCAGCTCAAGTTTGTTATTTTCTTGTGTCGCATTTGCAAAATTAATTACAGAGCGCGGCATAATACTTTTCTGTGCGCATAGATATGACTGTAATTTCCTTTTCTAAGAAGAAGAAGGAACGGGATGCATCGAGAGAGGCTACGAATAGCAATTACGAAGTTTATGAACAAAATAACCGAGCAATTTAATTCCACGAAACCGAAACTGCGCACTGTTCGAGTGTTTATGAAGTATAATGTGAGTCACAACTTTCGCAATTTAGCAATTTTATCATCCAATTCTAATTGCCATCGCATTAACATTTACGATGAGAAAATAATTAACGCTCGGTGATGAAAAATTAATGCTTTGTGTCGCTGCATCGAACTATTTCCAATTGGCATTTTAACATGAAGCGAGCAATACAATTACGCGATGTTCGTTATTTATTTAAATCAAAAATCCATATTGATGATTTCACAGTGAATTAAGAGTTTTACATAATTCATGATTGAAAGTGTTCATCCGTGATTGACAATAGTAAATATGTTAAATTTCCTACAATATCAATAAATAATATACTAGTATACTATACTAAAATTTTATAATATACTTTACTTCGTATAATTTTTTTTCATAATATTTGTTATTATAGATCTAAGATCGAAAAATTACACAATTATTCAATATAATTGTATTTATGTTACGTAGTTATGAAATTGATTAAAACTCTCCTTCGATAATTCAGGTTGTTGGGTTATAATTTATCCCTTATAGCTGTAGACTGTATTAAACACTGATTTGTTGGTATATTATGTATTTGTTGCAGTTCTAATTACAATCACTGATTTGTTACTAAGTTATAATGAGAGAAAATATATTTATTTTTTATTTACTATACATGTTGTTTTGCGGACTTTACTTTCAGAAGTGAACAACTAGTTCAATTAAAACACTCCGCTACCCCCTCAATCAGGGGTAGCAACCATTCCGTGTAAAGCTTAATGCTCTGAAGGTTGTCACCTTCATGGCCAATATAATAGAACAAAAATATGTCCGAACACTAATTAAAATATTTCTAATAATATATTGTTAGGTGACTATTAGCTATCTATAGTCTTCATTAATAACACTTATTGAATTTCATATATTTCCGAGCTAATTAATATAAAGTATCCATACTTTATTATTAATTGAACATGACACATTTCTCTGTTTTATATGTCATACTGATTATGTCGAATGCATGGCACACTGACTATTAAAATATTAACTAATATTATAATATAATAAAATATAATAATAATAATAGTGATAATAATAATATACGCCCTATAATATATATTTCGCTAACAATATATAATTTAACGATGAGAACGCCATTACAATTCACTTACATTATTTTTTAAATTGGTTATTTAAATTTTATTCATAACTTTGAACCTGTCTGAAATATATATATATATATATATATATATATATAAATATATATATATATATATATATATATAAATATATATATATATATATATATATATATAAATATATATATATATTATTTTAAATGGATTAACAGCAGTTATATGAATTAAATGCATTCAACTTTTTGAAATATAATATGAAAGCTAACATGACCCTTTATAGCAATTAGAATTAATTTTTGAGTTTAGTTTACAATCATATGCTTTTTATAGTATGTATTTCCTTTAGAACTTTCTACAGATAATTTTTTACATTTAATCCAATCTTAAACATAGTTTACAAATTACCAGAAACGAACTTATATATAAATTTAAACGATCGAAATTATTGTTTTTAATTAAATTGCAGAAATTTTTAGTTGATATAAGTCGCACTAGGCTTTTTAGGAATTAATCTTAAATCGCGTAATTTTGTCCAAAACAATCAAAATATATAAATCTAGGAACAAATGTCCAATATACCTAGTCTCAGCACGCAATAAAAACAAATGTGTATATCACAATTATATTCATATTTTTGTTAACTGGTATATTTAATAATTTATTTTACTTTAAAATAGAAGCCTAATAATGCCAAAACCAAGTGGAAAAAGAGGTATGTAATGAACTAAAATTAATTAATATATAATATTTATATTATATATTATTTTTTTTATTTTTAAAATTCTTGACTTGACATTTTTTATTAAAATTCGAAATTACAACAATCGAACAAGCCCTGGACCTTTCCAAAAATAAAAATTATAATAAATATTTTTCTAATTTAAATTTTGATGTCCTGCAACAATTCTGTTTTTCAATTTTGTGTCAATTTAATAAGAAATATCATTTTATTAAATCGGTGGGTTCAAGTTATTGTTTAACAATATTGGTATTAAACCTAACAATTTATGAATATTTAAATAAATAGTAATGTATTTAAATTTGTTATTTTATACAAATTTATTTAAAAACTGAAAGTTTAAATTATAAATTAATATCAATGAAGTGTTTGAGATGTATAATTTTATTAGTGACACTTCTAAGCCCTTACATTAATTTTCTGGTTATAAATTCGACTTCAAAATATACGTTTTACTGTCAATTTTTAATAATTTTAAACATTTGTAAGTTAATAATTTCTGAATAATTTGATCCACTTTATAAAAGCATTATTACCTTTTGGGTATTCAATGATGTAAAGGTTAAGCTCAGCGACTAGTGTGGATGGAGTCTTGAACCTGACATCTTGCAGTAGCGATGTTCATTTTTACTAGAAAATATAGATCAAAAATATTTTTGCAATTGAAAATAGCCCATTAGGGAGGGGGGTCTGACAAAAAATTACGAAATAATACATGGGAGGAGGTAGGGGTATAGTAAGATATTACGTGTATTTATTTTTTTTAACTAAAAACATTTTTTTATAAAAAAATTTACGATTTTTCTTCTAACTAAAATACACGAGATGTTTGGTTGGGGAGGGAGAGGGTAATTTTGAATATCACCACGTATCACCAAGAGGGAGGGGTGGGGTGTCCAAAAATCCTTAAAAAGTCGATCACGTGATTAATGGACGCCCCCTTAGCTCTAGTACTGGCAATGGAAAATCTCTCACACTATTCTTTCCTGAATCGAGTTGGAGTTTAACTCAGTTCACGGACCTGCCTTAGAGCAGTACTACCCAATACTATTATATTGACTAATATGTTGCTAGTTCTTGATCATAATCGCTGAATTGTGATTATATACATTTAATGAATGGAAATATATATTTATCGTATTTTCTATGATTGTACATCTTGATCGTGGATATTTTCTATTATTAAGTGCCACCTAAGCCGAAGGCGGGCGCGAAACGCAAGAGCCGAAGTAAGCGAGCCGACTTAGTTTTCCCAGTTTCGCGTATTAACCGTTTCCTTCGCAAGGGGCGATACGCGCAAAGAATCAGCGACCCCGCTCCAGTCTATTTGGCAGCGGTCATGGAATACCTCACCGCGGAAATGTTAGAACTCGCAGGAAATGCGGCGAGGGACAATAAGCGCTTGAGGTTAATATGAATATATATGAACAATCAATTTCACGAAATAATTTATTTTTTTTACTCTTATTTTGTGTTACTATTCATATCTTCGCGTGACAGAGATTGTTTGTTACAAATCGTGTAACAGTTTATCCTCAGAAAAAGCGTTTCAAGTTTATACACAAAATTTTATTTTAAAAATGAATGTTAATATTAAGTGACTAATTCTTGATTAAATCACGTTACCTTTACGTTATTTTTTAATTATTTTGATTATTTCAATTGGGGTGAATTGAAAAATAATTTAAATTAAATGTACTTGTATAATTGAATTTACGCATACATAAACAGTAAGTTCTTCATAATGGAACGGATGAAATGATTAAAGATGGATTTTTATTGTACTTATACATGTATTGTAAACTATATAAAGCATACAGTTTTTAGTAAAAAAATTTGATATTAAATACTATAATACAAAAGTCATTAATAAGAGGTAAAATTTATTGTCCATTTAGAATTGTTCCGCGCTATTTGCAACTTGCGATTCGCAATGACGATGAGTTAAATCGATTATTGCAAGGTGTGACCATATCTCAAGGAGGCGTTATTCCTAATATTCGAGAAGAATTGTTGCCAAAAAGGACCCAGGCTTCTAAACGCACCACTGACAGCGATAAAAGTACCTCTGAACCCGAAGCCGATGATTGAATACCTCTGTATCAATATACATTCTTTA